GAATTTCATCAACAATTCAAAATATTCCAATACATTTCAATTTCATACATAAACCTAAATTAAAAGAATTGAATAATGTCAAAAGCCAATTACACGACAAAGAAAAATTTATTTGTACACTAAAACAGGAAGTAAAATATAAGGCAATTGAAGAACAAATACAAATGCCTTCAATACAACAAAAAATTCTATCAATACAAAAACAAATAGAAACATCAATATGTAGCGAACATCCCAATGCTTTTTGGGATAGGAAAAAACATAGTATCAGCTTACCATATGAATCAAACTTTACTGGAAGCCAAATCCCTACTAAAGCTAGGCCAATACAGATGAATACTGTTTTGTTGGAAATGTGTAGAAAAGAAATAGCAGAACTCCTACTGAGAAAACTCATACGACCAAGTTCTTCACCTTGGAGTTGTGCAGCTTTTTATGTTAATAAAAATGCTGAAAAAGAAAGAGGAGTTCCTAGATTGGTTATAAATTATAAACCATTAAATAAAGTGTTAAAATGGATAAGATACCCAATTCCAAATAAAAAGGATTTATTAGAAAGAGTTGCTCAAGCTTGTATATTTTCAAAATTTGATATGAAATCAGGATACTGGCAAATCCAGATCCAAGAACAAGATAAATATAAAACTGCGTTTAATGTTCCATTTGGGCAATACGAATAGAATGTAATGCCTTTCGGTTTAAAAAATGCACCATCAGAATTTCAAAAAATAATGAATGATGTATTCAACTCTTATTACCCTTTCATGATAGTGTATATTGATGATGTCTTAATATTCTCTGAATCTATAGACCAACACATCAAACATATTAATACCTTTATCCATGCTGTGAGCCAAGCTGGCTTAGTAGTTTCTGCCAAAAAGATTACACTTTTCAAAACTAATATCATATTTTTATAACACATGATTCACCATGGTACTATTATCCCAATAGACAGATCCATAGCTTTTGCTGATAAATTTCCTGATAAAATTCTCGATAAAACTGAATTACAAAGGTTTCTAGGATGCCTCAATTATGTTAGTGATTTTTACCCTAATCTTGCATTGGATTTTAAACCTTTATATGATAGACTCAAGAAGAATCCTCCTCCTTGGTCTGATATTCATACACGAGCAATACAGGTAATAAAGAGTAAGGTCAAAACTCTTGAATGCCTTTCTCTTCCACATCCTACTGCTTTGAAAATCATTGAATGTGATGCCTCTGATAAAGGACTTGGTGGCATATTAAAACAACAAATAGATTCCAAAGAACAATTATTACGTTATACATCAAAGGCTTGGAATTCAACCCAATTGAATTACTCAATGGTCAAAAAAGAATTATTAGCTATTGTTCATTGTGTTACAAAGTTCCAAAGTGATGTTTTAAACCAACATTTTCTTATACGAACCGATTGCAAAGCAGCCAAAGATATTCTGCAAAAAGATGTTAAAAATTTGATTTCTAAACAAATATTTGCCCGCTGGCAGGCTATTCTCTCTGCCTTCGATTTCTCTATTGAGCATCTTCCCGGGTCTTCTAATTCTTTACCCGACTTTCTGACCCATGAATTTTTGCGGGGGGGGCAACACTGACGCCAACGACGAATCACCACTTTCACTTGCACTTCAATTATTCCAAGATAACCTATCTGATAAAGATCTTTCATCTTTAAATATGGGCTCCCGAGGCAATACTCGCCGGGGAAAACAACCCATGCACTCTTTAGTTCCATATGAAGGGGAACCTTCACCCCTAAATATTTGTTCACCATCGCAATCCCCAGTTCATCAAATTACATACCCAGAAGCTCGAACTTCAACTCCTACATTCTCACCAGCCCAGTCCAAATCCACTCTTCCTACCAACAGTCCAAGATAAGAATATATCGAAAGAGCTTTTTTAATGGATATTACCATTGATGAACATCAGGTTCACATGGATCCAAGCAAGCTTGCACCATTATACCTATTAAATCATCTTAATCCTATCAATGGGGTTAAGACCAGAGAGTATTATGAAGCCATTCTAATGGAAACAGGGTCCATCTCTGTTGTCCACTACTTTCAACAGAATACCTGAATCATAGCCTATTCAAAAGTACAGATAAAGAAATTACTTCCTTATACTGAGTGGGGTTCCAATCCCGCACAAGGCAAAAAATTACAAAACCCTGAATTTTCTTATAAGTATTTCAAATATGCTGAGTACATAGAAGCTTGGCATAAATTTTTCTATTATCAAAACCCTAACAATACTCATAGCTGGTATTTACAATTTCGGCTACCAATTTTTGAAAGGTTCCCCACCTGGTTTCAAAACTGGTATTTTGTGTGGGGATCAACTGCTATGATTTTACCTCCTGTTTTTAAGGAGCTGCAGGAGCAATTTATACAATACAATAATATCAATAATTCAGTTGACACTCACCTTTACTTTATGGCTTTATACCAAATCCCTTGGATTATGAAATGGGATTATACCATCTCACCCAATACTTCCAACGATTATACATACATCCCTCGTTTGGGAAAAACCATCTCTGTAAAATGGTGGGATATCTTTCAAATGGATCTCACCAAAGCCACTCAAAAAAGAACACCGCCCAAAGCACCTATATACAAGGAAAACCCAAATACTCCAAACACTTCTTTTGATTTTCCTACCTACCTGAGAAATATGCTTCAAACCAACCCACATGCGTCCAAGGAAGAACTGGAGAAACAAATGAAAGAGATCTTTGCTGAAGCAGGAAGAAAACCCACATCTTCCGAAGAAACAGTTCAGTCCTCTCCACTACACACCAATAGATACCTCCAACTCAGTCAGAAGGATCCAGAAGAAACAGATCCAGACGAAACGGATCCAGAAGAGGATGATCCAGACGAATTCAGCCAGAGAACATAAATTGATCATCCATGACGTCACCATCCAGAAAGCAATAACGACAATAGCACGACATCATATGCGACAAACAAGGGTCCCACCATAGACAGCAAACACTGTACTCATTGTAATAAGGCCAAAAGAGCCTAGATGCTTTACTTTTTTATTTTTAACTTTTTGTACAAAGAGCATCTCCCTATGCTCGTATGTTTTGTCCACTAGCACCTCTCTCTCTCTCTTGTCGTATTCCACCGACACTCTCTCTTGTCGCATTTGCTGACACCCGGGCCCCTCTCCTTTGTCAGGACGTGCCGACGCTCTCTTGTCCACATGTGCCGACCCTCTCTCTTTCTTGTCCACATCTGCCACCTCTCTCTCTTTCTTGTCCACATCTGCCAACTAAGGCATCTCTCTCTCCTGTCCTCTTCTCTTAATGCGTGCCAGCTGGCCCATAATTGAGATTCCTTTCGAAGGCCTCAACTCCTATAAAAGGAAGACTCCTCCCTCGTCTAAAGCAGGGCCTCACTCCTCTTCTCTCCCATCAGAGCCTAACCTCTCACCTCCTCCTCTCAGAAAGCCTAAGCCTCCCTTCAACCTCTGAGCCTTCAACCTCTGCACTCGAAACCTCTGCAACCAAACCTCTGCACTCGAAACCTCTGCAACCATACATCTGCACTCGAAACCTCTGCAACCAAACCTCTGCACTCGAAACCTCTGCAACCAAACCTCTGCACTCGAAACCTCTGCAACCATACCTCTGCACTCAAAACCTCTGCACCTGTACCTCTGTACCCATATCCGAATTCATACTCATCACAGCAACCTTTGAAGCTATCCTTCGCCCTCATAGCTCAAATCAGGTTCTCTCTTACCTTACTCTATAATTATGTGTGATTGTAATCTCACAAATTTACCTTCATACTGCCCTCATCACTGGAAACTGTTTTCCAGTTACTGTATGTGTGCTCAGTAAGTTCTTCATCCCTCTGTTTTTCCTCTCTGGTTAACTCTGTGTAAACTCTCAATTTTATTTTCCGTTTTCATGTAATATCTTTCCTTTGTAATATTATCCGATTGTAAGCACATGTGAATATTAATAAGATGCTAGTGTGACTTTCGGTAAAATTTCATGCTTACTCATTATGCAGTTTAAAATTTTATTTAATATTAAGATAGGCAACACAAGTTATGCACAGTGGATAGTACTTGATATCTCAATAGTTCCATTCATAGGAATTGTATTATTCTGTTTAAATTATTATAAAATATTGCAATCCATAGTAACTTACAACAGCTTGCTGTTCACATACTTGTTATAAGTCCTGAAAATCGCTTCCAAATAAAATTAAACACCTGAAACATAAAACCCAATAAATAAAACTTCATTAAAACAAAACAAAAGACAGTGCTGTAGATCCTGGCGCAAAGTGGTATCAGAGCCATACAGTGATACACTGTCTAACAAATTACAACAGTAGAACTATTCCACAGTGGAACTGTGCCAACAGTTATAACTGTAGAATTTGTAAAACTGTTCTTTCTACTTCATAAGTTAAGATAAGAGACATTTTACTGTAAGAAACCAAGTGAGATTAACCACCAAGAAAGTTGGTCCGAGAGTTAAGACAAGAGACAAGTGAACGCCGATGCGAAAAGTACC